AGGAATGCCAGGCATCCCACAGCCTGTCAGCTGTTACTCAGGGAGGTAGTTCTGTCATTCACCTACTTTGATGAAAAACGTCTGTTAGCAGAATGTGAGCACTGGTGCTGCCCATAACAGGCTTGTATTGTGCTATGGTTTTTTTCCTCTATGTAGTCCCAATTTTGGCAATTGTGTTTATGGGGGCTTCCCCCTCCCCCTGCTCTAAAGACAGCAGATACTTTCTCCTGAGTACCAGCAAAACACTGGCTATCATGCAGCCAAGTGCCAGTTTGGTACCAATGCAACAGACACATCAAAGGACAGACATCTGGAAGTTGAGACGGATGCTTGCTTCCACTGTGTGAATGTTGTTTGTTGTGAAACGGCTGAGAAGAATTAGCTGTTCTGTTGAGTATGTCCAATACTCCATTACCCTTGGAGTGTGAAAGTCGGCCCTGATAGCAGAAATGCTGTGAAATAGTTGCTGGTGGGCGTACGTAACTCTCACTGGTATTTTCATATCTATGAAGCTCTCAAGAGATGAAATGTTAATAATTAGTGCTTCTGCAACCTTAGGAGACTGTTGTGCAATGCTAGTGTACGATTGGCTGTTAAAAGTGATGCTTCCTGCTATACTATAAACCTGTCTTAGCAAAACATTCGCTTTTGTTCTGTCAGATGGAGGCTTATCAAGGGCAGAAACAAAACATTTGCTTATTCATTCCGAAATGTCACTTAAGAATGAAAATCCCTCACTTGGTATAATCCTTTCAATTTTAGGTTCAACTTTATTTACAACTGAATTCCCATATACCTGAAGAGTCTGATAGAAGAAGCCGTCTCTGTGAGCACAGCTTTAAAATGTAGAGAAAAGAATACATGTGATGCAAGGATTTTTTTTTAATGTCATTCTTTTCCTGAAGGCCACTAAACTTTCTATTGTATGAATAGAGGAATGAATCTCAACCGTTTAGATAGTGGGATGGCAATGTGATGTCAGTGTTTTAATTGCTTTTTGTTGTAATACTCACCAAATTTTTTTTGTACAACATTAAACAAAATGGTTAAGATTCTGGTTGTCTTGCATTTGTTGGTGGGGTTTTTTTGTTTTTTTTTTTTTTTGTGCTTTAGTTGTCTCCTACTTTTAGGTATGTATTTTAAACTTTATTGCTTTCCTTCAGGAATACAGAAGATCTTGGAAACCCATTCAGGGACCATTTGGATGCTCTGATCTGCATCCCTGAGCAGGGAATTAGTCTGAGGGAGAAATTAAACAGTATAAGTAGGTGCAATATAATTTTGAGTCCTCTTCACTTAGAGAACAGAATAGCTGTTTTGAGGGAGTATGGGTGCTTAAAGGCAAGTATAGCCTTTGTTCAAAGCTTCTCAGAACTGGTCTGGAAGCATTACTGTTTGTACAGGGCTTGGCAGAGATGTAACTTGTATCTTCTCCCTCTGTGCCCCCTTAAGGAAATAACAACCAAACAAATTCTGTCAGGCTGGCCTGAGATCCAGTTAAAACATGGAAGTAAAATTAATTTTATATACTTTCTATAACTATGGGACTGAATTTGGGTCATGTTCAAATGTTTTGCTAATGCTACATGCAAGTGGTTCCATGTTATGCCGAGCTGTGGTAGTAGACCAGTGTGCTGTGTCACCTTGCAAGGGATACTCGTACTTCTGCTTCCTCACCTCAACATTTCAGTCTCTTGCAGGTAGTAAATATCAACCTTTATAGGTTTGGTTTGTTGTTTTTTTTTTTTTTTAACATGCTTGGCTAAACATCAATTCCAGTGGATGTGTCCCTTCCTAATGCCTTTAGCCTTCCATAGTTTTGCTTAACTCTTTAAAAAGACTTGTTTCCAAATTCTGCCTCTGACCAGAAGATGCACCGTTGCTCGTGTGCTGTCCTCATTTATGAAGGCACTGTTGGAGAGTGCATGCTGCCAGGAGAACCGAAACTTGCCAAAGTGCTTAGTTCTGTTGCCAGTTGTACTGGTAGGCTATGTGCAGAACAATTGCGACAGCTTGATGTGTCAGTCAAATTGAAGCTGTGCAGTATGGGATCAATACTGAAAAAATACTGGAAGATTTAATGGTAGGGCTGCTCACTTTGGTCCTATGGATAGAAGGCCTGGACTTACGGTTGGCAAAATGTATGGTTGTTAGGCAACTGCCAGATGGGGAAAATAAAGCTAGCAGGGGTGTGTAGAAAGGGAACAGTTCTTGCATGGCGAAGTGAGGGAAGGTGGAGGTTTGGAAGTCAAACGCTACAGGAACAAGAAGCAGCAGAGCACCGCTGGCATTTAACAGCACCCCTCATCTTCCATCCCTGCGCGCTAGTTTGGGAGTTTGACTAATTTTTGTTCCAAGCTACCTGTGAAAGAGTGCTGCAAGCACGGTATC